TTTGTCAGATGCTGTGTTCCAGAGATGCAAACATGATCCAATAAAAAAATAACTCATCACAGAGAAATATGGGTGTTGCTGTGACTATACCTGATCATGTACTCTAGAGGCTCAATAGCTGGTTTGTGGAATCATTTGTAAGATTTGCAGCTGGAGACTTGGCAGTGCCTTTGAATGCTGTGAGTAGAGCTTGATCATTGATTTTGTTTGGACCCTAAGAAGACAAAGAATGTACATAGAAATGTGAACAGCAAAGGACATGTTAAGAATTTCATTTGGGATAAAGGAATTAATTGGCAATTGAATTAGTGACCATGCATGTTACACTTTGTCTTACAATTTGCCTATATTTTCCTTATTTCCTAATACATTGTGGGAGATTGTGGGGGGTTGAGATTAAGGTGGTAGAATAACTAATATGATGGAACAAGTTTCAAGTCAGCCTAATTTCTATAATTTCTAGGTTGTGACAGGAGTTTTACTGGCTACTTTTAGCCAAATTTATAGTGAGAACAGAAGGCAAAATTTAGGCCAGAAAATTTGGAAAACTTAAGTTTTGCACATGCAATGGTATACTACTCTGCCAAAAAGAGTCATTTGTAGGAAAATGGAGGCAACTTGAGATGATAATGTTAAGTGAAGGAAATAAGGCCCAGAAATATGAAGTTTCTCTTATATGAGAAATCCAAAGTATAAAGAGAAAAATAAAAGGTAGGTAATAAGAAGTAGGCAGATAGATCTTTCTCAGATGGGAAAGCAAACCAGATATGTAGAGAGCCAGGCATGGTGGCATATGCCTGTAATCCCAGCACTTGGGAGGCTGAGGCAGGAGGATCATTTCAAATTTGAGACCAGCCTGGGCTATGAAGTGAGATCAGCCTGAACTGCACAAACAGATCCTGTCTCAAAGAGAGAGAGACAGAGAGACACAGAGAGAGAGACAGAGAAGAGAGAGAGAGAGAGAGAGAGAGAGAGAGAGAGAGAGAGAGAGAGAGCAGGGAAGGGATAAGTAATGAGGAAAAGAATTAAGATGAGTCATTCACATGTACCAGCTACACACAAGGGTTGGTATGATCATGTACTGTAAATATGTACAAAATAAGAGAGTGGATCAGGAGGTGGTTGGACAGCAGAAGGAGGAAACCTTTAAATTCTGTACTTTCACCACCACTCAGGGAAAGTTGTGGTGAGATGTAAACTTCCATAGGCTTGAGCATCCTGCTTCTATGGCATTGGTGATTCCAGCCTTCAAGCTCTTTCCCTTGAATTGTGTACACTGCCTGTGGCTTTCCTCAGGCAGTAATTCCATGTTTCTGTCATCTACAAATTACTGGGTTATCTATTGCCCTTTTGGTTTCATTTTCATAGCTGAAAGCACTACCTTTTCAGGGGCACACATCCTGGCCGCCCAGGTATTATGAAATGTAGGAAAAAACTCCCATGAAACCATAATTCACATTCTGGAAGCTTGAAAAGTCAGCATTGTGTGGATAATGCCAATATCTGTAGGCCATTTTACCAGTAGCCAGCATCCTAGGATCATAGCTGCAGAGGCCTCTGAATGTCTGTCTGCATGACACTCAGTGTGAAAGGAATCTCAGTCAACCAGTTCCCTAGACGGTCTTTCTTAAGCATTTTGCCATAGGGCTCTCTTCTCATTGAAAAGCCTTTTAAAATTTATCTTTACTCTTTCATATCCTTGAACCAATGAGGGTGGGATCTTGCTGATTCCTAAGAAGACTTCAAGCAGATTTCTTACTGTCCTGGTGCAAACATGACATCATTTGTCCCAATTTTTCAAGAACTATTTGTTTCTTATTTTCGTTATAAATCTGGCTAATAGCTTCCAGCACTATCTATGACACGGGTCTGGTATTCTTAGATCAGGTTTCCCGGAAAGTCTCAGAACAATAGCAAAATGTAGGCTAATGTTTGCCAGAGCATAACACACATGGCCGTAAGTCTGACTGCCAATGTAAATCTTGCTCCTGAATAAATCTTTCTGTGCCTTATCTTTATCATGTGCATTGTTATCATCATTTTGGTCTTCTGAGTGAGCTCTGAACGAAACTCTCATTAACCTCTGTTTATAGTATTACAGAGCTTCTCTAGCCAGGATCTTATTAACTTTCCAAACTTCTCCCATGAACCTATTCCAAGAGCTTCTAAACTACATAATCAAGTGCAGTCATAGCAACAACCCCACTGTCAGAACTGTAATCTGTTATAGTAACTTTTATCATTGCTGGGACACAATAACTGATTCTTACAACTTGAAGAGAAGTTTATTTTTGATCAGAGTTTCTGATTCCAAGGCAGAAACACCATGATCAAAGGACTTGGCAAAGAAAAGCTGCTCATATCATATTGTTAGAAAACTGAGAGCAAAGTGAGCAGCTAGAGAGGGAGATATAAATCTCCAGGTCAGTTCCCCAGTGATTCACCTCCAACCAGGCACCACCTGAACCAGGAGGTTTTTGTTGGACACTAAAAAGCTAAAATTAGATTATGAAGTGTGAATTTGTGAAGTTCACTTCACATCCACTTTCCTATATGAGATTTTGCTTACACGAAGGCACTCCTTTCAGTGTATGACTATATATCAAGAAGGAATCACCTACAAAGAAAAAATGTGAGTACTTACCATACCTGGAATCTGCAGATGCCTTCATTGTGAACTTCTGGTGTTTGTTAATGTAAAAAGTAAATTTCTTTTATCTAAATGCCACTCAGTGTAAAGCATTTTTAAAATCAGTATAAGTAAACTAAGGCAGGGGAAAACTGTTTCCAAATATTAAAGAATATCTTCAAAAAACTGTTGACTTGTATTATATTTAATGTCAAGTAACTGAATGTAATTCACTGAGATCAGAAATAAAGGGTGTTTTCAATTACTACTATTCATAATCATATTGGAATATTATCTAATGCCAAATGGAAAGAAAAGTAAACAAAAACATTGGATAAATGGAAAAAGAAAAAACAAAACTACTTCTGTTCTCAGATGACATGACTTTTATGTAGAAGATCTACAAGGATCAACAGAAAATTCTCTTCAATAAGGACTGTTAGTGAAATGATAGGATATGTGGTAAATAGGTTAAACTGAATTGCTTCCAATATACCAAACATGAACATTTGAAATTTAAAATTAATGACATAATATCATTTATATTGGTCCTTCCCAAAATAAAATATGTAATTATAAACCTAAAAATGTAAAAGATCTATAAGGAAATACTACAGAAATATGTTGAGAGAAACACAGGACCTTAATAAATAAATATAGATTCTGTTTATGGACCAGAAGGCAGTGTTACCAAGATCATATTTCTTCCTACTTTGTTTGCGAACTTAATTCAATCCAAATAAGAATCCCATAAAGTCATTTTGTGCATGTTGGCAACCCAATTCTAAAATTTACGTAGGGAAGTAAACTCTTAGCATTGACAGTCTCATTAGCCCATCATCCTTTCCATTTGAGTTCTACAAATACTTGCTATGTTCAGTGAGGTGGCCTGACAGTTCCATGAACAACTGCCTCACAATACTTTCTTTAGAGTATTGGCTTTAGTTCTTTCTGGTTTCGCTGAGAGAGTGCCCTTTTGTTGAATGTGAAACACTCTCGTGTTGAGCTAATGGCAAATGCGTTTGAAAACCATAGACATGAACCAAAGTCAGCTGTGAATGACAAAATACAGAATGACTGTGATTAGGGACCTGATGGAAGCTCGTTTGACAAGAGAATTTGTTTGTTTCTGTGGTGTGCATTAAAAACATATTGAATGATGATTTAAAAGATGCTATTGTTGGAGAACAAGTCAGTGTCCCCCGAGAATCAGCCATGCTAGAGCATGAGGGACTGACCAAGAAAGAAATGAGCCAGCCTTCCTGATAAGTGGGGAGAGCCATGGGAATGCTAGGCAAAGAATAAGTCAGTGTCTCCCATGAGCCTGGCCAAGGGCTGAGAATCAAATGGCCCATCCCTCCTGTTCCCCCACCCCTTTAGCAACTGGATGGTTTTGAGCTGGGCTTGATAGCAACAAGGTACATAAAGCAATTAAATGCTTGTATTGTTTGGTTAATTATGCTGACCTAAGGCCAAAGGTCTGAGCATCTATTGGGAGAATAACAGTGTGCAATATAGAAAATATGAGGGATTTCCTTCTATCTTGTCTTTGAAGGCCAATATTGTTTTAATGTTTTGCTTTGTTCTGATTGTCTTGCTCTATTCAATATTCTGCTTTGATTGGTTTTTTTAGTGTTCTGTTTTTGGTTTGATTTTGCTATATTTCATTTTGCTATATATGATTGGACAACTCCTATGAAGATAACAAGATATACTATGGTAGTTATTATTGCTATTCCAGCATCCTGCTGTGAAGTTCTGTACCAATTTCACTGCATTGTCTTGATTGACTTTGTTTTTTCTTGTTTTATTGTATTTTTCTATCTTTAAAATAAAAAATTAAAAGATTCTATTGCTTAATAGGTAAAACAGCAACAGGACAAATCATGAACCATAGGACACTGAAAATTTTCTGCAAAATAATATATAATATATGAAAATAACATTTATCCATGCACATATGATATAGAGAAGGATAAGATTTAGTATTTGACGATGTTTTTAATGACATTAAATTAACTAAAAATAAAATTTTAACCTGTCTTTTAAAAGATGATAGAGCAAATTCTTTGTGATATTCCATGGCACTTCTAGGAAATGTCAAAATCAGTTTAAGATCAAGAAGATATTTTTAGGATTCAGGAAGGTCAAACTGCCAAAAGATCTGGACATTCAACTGAATAGACTTTAATTTTCTTTGAAGCAATATCTAGCTATGTGTTTAAAAACATTACAACAAATGAATTCAGGTGGGAATTATATTTTGGCTCTTTCAAAAATGAGAAAACTTTCTTTTAAATAATCAAGGACATAATGTAGACCACAGGGATTAATCTGATAAGGCAAAGAATTTTAAAAAATTTATAATACTGTGCTTGCTTTGGCAGCACATATACTCCAATTGGAATGATACAGAGAAGATTAGCATTGCCCTTGCGCAAGGATGACACACAAATTTGTGAAGCATTCCATATTTTTACAAAGCAACTGTAGTAAAATCAACATGGTACTGGAATAAAAACAGAGTCAAAGATCAGTGGCATAGATTAGAAGATAAAACCACAACTACAAACACACTCAACCACCTTATCTTTGATAAAAGGGCCAAACAGGTTCACTGGAAGAAGGACATGTCGATGTCCGCTCCCGGCCGGCAGGAAGGACACACGACAAAGTCTGGCAGTGGACAACCTTTTCTTTTATTTTTCTTCTCCGTACAGCCTGCCCTGGGATCGCTCCCAGCCGAAGCCTCCTTTGGTCCGCTCCCCGCGGCTCCTTCTGGGCTTCTACTTCCGGGCTTCTCCTTTCCCCCAGGGGTGGCACCAGTATATATACGGATACAGTGTCCAATCATGTTAAAGTAAGCAAGGCAAGCTGATTGGCTAACATCATCAGTTGCCAGGCAGACTATATTGTTGAGCGGGTTGCTTACGCGGTAAGCAGGAAACTAACGTGCTCGATGGGAGGGGTAATCTACCTCAGGCTTTACTCTTTACTACAGGCCTCACGTCCGCCAAGTGAGGCGACCGGGCTCGGGGCTGCGGCTCCCAACAAGGACAGTCTCTTTAGCAAATGGTGTTGGAAAAACTGGCTCTCCATATGTCGAAATCTAAAACTAGACCCATGCCTATCACCATGTACTAAAATAAAATCTAAGTGGATCAAAGATCTGAATATTAAAACAGAAACACTAAATCTATTGGAAAACAAATTGGGTAAAAACCTTGAAGACATAGGGGTAGGTAGAGATTCATGAATCAAACCACACGGGAAATACTTCCCAGAATCAATAACTGGGATCACCTCTTATTAAAAAGTTTCTGCATGTCAAAAGAAGTCTCCATCAGAGTGAAATGAAAACTCACTAACTGGGAAAAAATCTTAGTGAACTGTCCCTCAGACAAAGGACTTCTGTCTAAAACATACAAAGAATTAAAAAAAAACTCAGACCCCAAAATTCAAAGATCCAATCCAAAAATGAGCATCTGAGTTAAATATACAATTTTCAGATGAAGAAATACAAATGGCAAATAAATACATGAAAAAATGTTCATCATTATTACTCACTAGAGAAATGCAAATTAAAACCACACTGAAATTCCATCTTACTCCTGAAAGAATGGCCAGGATCAAGAAAACTACCAACAACAAATACTGGAGAGGCTGTGGGGAAAGAGGAACTCACCTGTACTATTGGTGGGAGTGTATACTGGTGCAACCATTGTGGAGATTAGTCTGGAGATTCCTTGTAAAGCTGGACTTGGAAGTCCCAATTGTTCCAGCTATTCCACTTCTAGGCATATTCCCAGAATGACTGAAAACATCATACCACAGTGATATATGTGCACCTATGTTTATAGCAGCACAATTTGTAATAGCCAGATCTTGGAAGCAACCTAAGTGTCCATCAACTAAGGAATGGATAAAAAAGTTGTGGTATTTTTATACACTGGAATACTACTCAGCTATAAAGAATGATCATATTGAGATATTTATAAATGAATCTGCACATCTTGAGACCATACTCATAAGCGAAATAAATCAAACTCACATGTATAAATACTGAAGTTTCCCTAGTATAAGAAATGATAAGAATACATAAAAGTATGTGGTAATCACAATTCCCCATTATATTGCTTTGAAGCCTTATAATGTTTTCATTCATTAATTGGAATGATTTTATTCTGGATTGTTGGGTTTTATTGTGTGTGATGGTATGAACAGCTATTTTGAAGAAAACAAGACATCATAATAGCTAGTGCTGATTTAATATCATCTTGTTTTGAAGTCCCATCAAGCTTTTGTTCATCTGTCTCCATTGGTTTTATCATGTTACATCTTATTGGATTTTATTATATGTGATAGTATAAACAAAATTTTTATAAAGAAGATAATATAGAAACCATTGTTCATTTTCTGTTAGTTGGTTCTAAATACTTGTAATACTTTCATTCTCTTGAATGGGTTTACTTTTCACTTGAAAAGTTTGATGCTGTAGTATACGAAGTCATACTCAAATAGGAAATAGACACTATGGTAACTACTGTTATGTTAAGTTGTCTTGTGGTGAAACACTATGTTGCTTAAATTGTTTTGTTCTGACCTGTGTGTTATGTTGTTATGTCCTCTTTTTTCTTAACTTCCTTCTTTTGTGTTTTTATTTTTAATAAATAAAAGAATTTATAATACCTTATTTGCAGGCCAATAATCTGAAGAAAAATTTACAAATAAAATGGATAGAAAATAAAACTCTGTTTTTCAATCAGTATTTGTTGCAGTCAGGGATTGCAAGGAAAATGATTATATAACAGGACACATAATTTATAGTATCATTTTATAGTAGTCACCCAATGAGTTAAATACAAGAAATGCAAGGAATCTGTCCACTCATTAAGACTCAAGGAACTCGGCTGAGTCCTGCATCCCATGCCAATGTCCTGCATGAGTCTAGAGCCCAAGGCAATGACCTTCATGAGTCCAAGTGCAGTACTAGAGCCCAAACAATATCTCATGTAAGTCTGTTTCATGGATCTACACTGAAAAGACCCAAAGATTAGTGATGGAAGCTAGAAAGTCTGTGCCAGTGGGAAGAAGGATCTTTGCCAGTAGAATAAGGGTTCTGCACTGAAGCCAGGAAGTGACTCTCAAGGTTCCCTTGAAAAGTACCACAGTCATCCTCAACAATGAGACCCAAGCTCCCCTGATGATGAGAACAGCCGAGTTCATATCAGGAAGCCAGTGTGACAAGCTTTTCTAGGAAATGAAGCAGCACACATCTTCCTCTCTGGAGCTAGGAAGTGGTAAATACCAGACCTCCACTCAAAGTGAACTGCAGCCACTGTCAGTGACAAGAATCTGAGCTCCTCTGATGCTGAAAATAGCAAAATTCATAACTCAAAAAAAATCTGACAAGCTCCTCTATGATAGCCAATGACAACAGGAGAACCAACAACAAGAAGAATAAACAACAACACTATGGAGAACCAAAACCACCTGTCTTCCTCTCCAGGTCTCCTATTTATCTTAGCAGCAATCCTCAAGAGGGCTATACACACTCAGCACCACACTGATTCACTTCAGCTAGTATTACAAGTTGACCACCAGTTATCAATCCATCACAGTAATTATTCTTACTTTATTTAAAAATACTGAAATAAGCCTATTTAATCTTATATTATTCTGAGCAAATACCATGTGATTCGTTTTCTGCAAAACTATACTTTTCTATATGCATTGAAGTTTTTTCATATTTTTTTCCTTGTGCATTGTAGAACTAGAGGTCACTTTGCTGTGGAGAATGTGACTTTCTTCATAACTTTAACAAAAACACATCTTATATAACTTTCACTTTTTCATAGAAACAACATTTTCCAAAATCTTTGCATATTTTGCATATGAAGTTCCTTTTCTGCCTCTTTAGTATTTTATCCAGTTTCTGCTATATATATTGGTTTTGACTTTGGCAAATGGTAGACTTTATTTTACAGAGAAAACTAAAGTGGGCCCATTATGTTTTGTCTGTTATATGCCATTTTTCTGTGTCACAAAAGAAAAATTTGTGAATATACCATATCATTCATTTTGTACATGTTTTATCATAATGTAATTTCTTCACAATGTAATTTTTGTTAGGAGAAAAAGAACATATCTACTGCCAGGCCCAAATTTTCTAAACCTATAAAATTTGAAAGTCAAGAGTGTCTAAACCTAAACTGATGCTTAGAAATTAATGATTCAGTAGCTTCTTACCTAGACATATATGAATATTTCTAAAATATTAAATTTAGCATAAGTTTAAATTTGCCAAGATGATTTTGTTAACTGTTTGGTAACTGGACCCAAGACCAAGTGCTTATTGATCAAAAACCAGTAACTGGGATGCAAAAGTTGGGAGAGAAATCATTTGACAAAAAGCAGCTGCAAGAAATGGCACACATGATCATCTCCAAAAGTATGAAGATTTTTGGCATCTCAGTTGACCGGAGCCGCGGAAGACAGGAGACCAAACTCGAGCAGGATCAGCTCTCAAACTTTATTACGTACAGCGAACCGGACCTAACAAGGTCCGCCACCCTCAACGTTGATTCCTCTTCCGCCGTTGGGGGCAGGAACAACCTCTTATAAGGGGAAGCAGTATCCAATCACAGAGAAGCGTGCCTAACAAGCTGATAGGCTAGCGTCACAGGTAACTGGGCAGATATGACAATTTGGTGGGCTTGTTCAGGCCGGGAAGAACCCGGAAGCAGGAAATGGGCGCCATCATAGGCGGCTTCCCACATCTCCCCCTTTTTTATTTATTAAAATAGGATGGTCTGTGGGTCCCTCCAAGGTGTCTATGACCTTGTTGCTGTTAGACACCTAGGAGTGGGCCTACCTTGTAGGCCGAGGCATGAGAGAATGTAGAGGTCTATACCCTGCTGTGCATCACCCTGTTTTGTGCATATCCTTGCGCCAGGACCATGCTCAAGGTGAGTGGTTCATTTTTTCGCAGGGCCAGGCTTTTGTGAACCGAACCTGGATGCATATAGACATTCATTCCTGCCTTCCCCCCAACCTTTGGGGCGGATGGCACTGCAGTACCCTTGGTCTCGCATCTCAATGCCAATAATTTGACTCCAGAAGGGACCCCTGGCCTTATAGGCCATGTATATCTGAGTGGAGCCTGTCTTAGGTTGACCGGGAGGGCTTTTCCCGTCTTACCCGTCATTGGCTTGCCCACTCAGCTCTTATAGCTGATGTTATGCAATGTGAAGGAGATATGCGGCGGCCTGCTGGCCTGATGGGCCACCTGCTGCCATTTGCATGGCTGCCATAGCTGTGATCTTAACCTGCTGCTGAGTTTGTATGAGGTGATCTAACAAGCATTTAATAACCACAAGCCCCACTAGGAAGGCCACGGCAATCAGGATCCAAATAGTCAGGTTGGGCCAGGAGAACCAGGAGGTGACGCGTTCCCACAAACTGGCTATAACACTGCC